GGGATATCATGACCAGTTACAGCTTCTAGATACATTTTGATATGCAGACTCAAAATCTGCTGGGTGTCAAAAGGACCTCCAGCGTAGATATACCATTAACATTGTTGCTTCTCTGTTCACATAGCCTGTTAATTATGCATTTAGAGAGGGACTGTTTATCATTTAGTGCATGTCTAACCCTTTCTCTTCTCCAACAGCATTCATCTGATAACAAGCTTTTCCGTAGAATGCCATTTCTTTTTATTTAAAGCTAAAATGGGTTTTCCCGAGGAAATGAGTAGGGAAAGGAGAAAACAACCCTATTCATATCCTTGGTTTCTAACTATGGAAGAAGTAAAAGTGTGGATGAGCCCTTGTTTAGGAACTTCAGATGAGAAGGACCTGTTCTGATTGGATTTAGGGATTAGTTTTAGAGGGCAACCCAATTTGCTTCCCTGAGGCTGAGAAAAAAATCCTAGAAGGGGCTGTGAGATTCTTGCTAGAATTAACAAATGTCCACTTTAGATGGAAATAATCTATCCTGAAACTAGTTTTAAATAAGAGTGCTAACTGGGGCTTAAATGTTCTCTGTAAAGAATTTTTGCCTGAAATTATTGTGCCCCACATAAGTAACATTTCTAAAATGAAGTGTTGTACCATACCATAGTGACTATTAAGCTGGAATCCTCATTGTATACTGTATATAAAATTGTTCCAGAAGTGTCTCCTCATTACTTTGAACCTTTGGTGGCAGATAACTGCACACAGGGCATCCTTCCCATAAGTAAAACACCTGGCAGGTGCTGTTGTTTTTTTACCAAGAAAGAGTTAAAACAGCTGTATCTTTTAAAAACCCAGGAAGTTGTTCATGTTTCCCACCTCCCATCTTTAGTTAGGGAAATTGACACAATGGCCACTGACACAATTTCTCAAAATCTTAAAAAACAAAACCACATACTTTCGGAAAATATAAGGCAGGAGTTTCACACAGGGAAAGTAATTCCACACAGGGAGTTGGGGGTAAGCTTCCCAGAACTGATAGAGTTCATCCTATTTGTGATAGTGTATGGGAATACAAAACTATTGCTTGGAGAGAGAAAAAACTAGTCATGCTCTGGGATTCATTGAAAGATGACACGCAATTTGCCAAACAAAAGACATTCACGTTGAACAGATGTACCCTTATGTTTTTGGAGGAATGGGCAAAGTGAACGATGTATATAACATCTAAATAACATAGCCAAAAAGACAAGTGACACATGTTCCTTGCAAATTCCTTTGGACCTCACAAGGCTGGAAGTACTCAAATGTATGGAATCTGTATGAATAAATGAAAAGAACTTCATGTTCTGTAGACATGGTATGCTAACATAGTCTAAAGATTTGAACACAATATTCTGATTATGAATTGCCCATAGTTGCCTCCAGAGAAGGCATAGGAACTGCTTTAGTGAAGGGATATTTTTTTAAAAAAAGTTAAATGGTTAATTTATTTATTAGATTATCAGTCACTATATTTTGCCCTAAGCAACAGAAGTCTACATTGTTGTTGTTGTTTAGTCGTTTAGTCGTGTCCGACTCTTCGTGACCCCATGGACCAGAGAACGCCAGGCATTTCTGTCTTCCACTGCCTCCCGCAGTTTGGTCAAACTCATGCTGGTAGCTTCGAGAACACTATCCAACCATCTCGTTCTCTGTCGTCCCCTTCTCCTTGTGCCCTCCATCTTTCCCAAAATCAGGGTCTTTGCCAGGGAGTCTTCTCTTCTCATGAGGTGGCCAAAGTATTGGAGCCTCAGCTTCACGATCTGTCCTTCCAGTGAGCACTCAGGGCTGATATCCTTAAGAATGGATAGGTTTGATCTTCTTGCAGTCCATGGGATCCCCTTCATGGGATCGCCTTGCCGTGGCGAAGGGGCTTGAATAACTCAGAGAAGCTATGAACTATGATGAGCAGGGCACCCAAGATGAACAGGTCATAGTGGAGAGTTTTGACCAAACGTGATCCACCTGGAGGAGGAACTGGCAACCCACTCCAGTATCCCTGCCAAGAAAACTCCATAGACAAGTCTACATTAATAGACCTTAAATCCCACATACATATGGAAACTCCGGAGACAAGTGGTATGTGCTACACGGCGTCTCACCAACCACAAATGTAACCATGCACAAATAGAAAAAGAGCTGCTGGCCCTTGTATTTGAAAATTATAAAGTATTTGCTAAAAAAAAAGGCTTTGGATCCTTGTATGGCATTTCAAAGTTACAGGGCCACATCCTTAGAGCAGGCAAGTTCCCCTGATGAACTCTTGTTTCATAGAAAACTCAGGACCAAGCCACCATGCGTGTTAACACCTTAACTCTGATTTAACACAAGGTGTCCAGTCCCAGATACATAAGATACTGAGACAAAAGTGATATTATGGAACAGGGTTATGAGCATAGAGTCCTCTGCAACCAAAGGTGAGGGTTGAATGCATGATGATATCTCAGGGACACATAGGGATGTTGTTAATGAAGAACTAGCTTTCAGACCGTATAAAATACAGACCTCAGATGAATATATATTAAATGTAATAAACGGCATCTTCTCCAGATATCCTAAATGGGAGAACACAGTGGGTAAGGGGAAATTACTGTACATGGGGAACACTGAGCTAGTTATACCCCGCACAACTATCAGAAATGAGTCTGAGAAGGTCCAGTTGAAACAAGAAGGTTCCAGAAAGACTTATATGGCATTGACATTATCATTTTTAATAGTATTACATAGTATACTTTTTAGAAACAGGAATGTAAACAAATCTAAGTGTTGGTGGTTTATTCTAGTTTAAGTATGTTCATACGTTTACATACTTTGTATGATTCGTTTTGGACTCCTGGGACCAAGCCTTAATGAACACTGCTGCTAATTTTTGTGGGACTCCTGAGTCCAAGGAACACAATTGCTGATTTATTTGAGGCTCTTGAGACCAAACTCCCAGGAACAAAACTATAATAATAAAAATAAATTTCCATTCCATAGTAAAATCATCTTTCTGTAAGAGTATAGAAACATTTTAGCTTTCACAGAAGACAATGAGCAGGTGATATCTTTTTGAAAAAATATGTTCTTGAGTGGCTAGAAGAATACAGAACATCTTAAAGTAATGAAGAAATTGCTTCTGGGAATCTATTTTCTATAAAGGAAAAGAGTAAGATGTTTATATTTTTATAACTTTAGTGATACTTGGATAGTTTTTGGAGGGTTAAGTCCAGACAATACTACTATTGTGTACTGTGTAGAACGTGAAATCCTGCTTGTTATGTGGTCTCTCCTTAAACCTATATAGACTGCACATAGAATACCCAGTGTCCTGGTTTCCATGACAAGCTAATTGCAAATCTTAATTTAGTGAGATTACACAAATGTGCAGCCTCCTAGATTACAGTAGGTTTGCTCCTCCATGGTCCTTTTTACTGTTAAAAAAGGTAAAGGTAAAGACCCCTGGGAGTTAAGTCCAGTTGCAGACGACTCTGGGGTTGCAGCGCTCATCTCACTTTACAGGCTGAGGAAGCCAGCATTCGTCCGCAGACAGTTTTTCCGGGTTATGTGGCCAGCATGACTAGGCGCAACGAAACACCAAAACCAGAGCAGCACACGGAAACGCCATTTACCTTCCTGCCAGAGCAGTACCTATTTATCTACTTGCACTTTGATGTGCTTTTGAACTTTTGGTTGACAGGAGCTGTGACTGAGCAAAAGGAGCTCAGCCTGTTGTGCAGATTTGAACCACTGATCTTCTGATCTGCAAGCCCAAGAGGCTCAGTGGTTTAGACCACAGCGCCACCCGCATCCTTTTACTGTTATCTTAAGCTATATCAGGATTTGATTTAGCACATCATCCAAAGCAGGACTAGTGGTTAGCCTCTCTCCTCATCAGCCATGAGCTACAACCAAGAATAAACCTTCACTGCAGCTACTTGTGAGTGAAGACAAGTAAAGCAGTTATAAGCTTCTCTTCAAGAGCCTATACATTTGTACATACATAAGACTGTGGTCTGTGCACAGTACACATTAAGGTTAGAAACATACAACCAAGATTAAACACTTGAAACTTCTGTGATCTCAACTAGGAAGGAGTTGCAAAGCATTGAGCCCAGAATACTTAATGCATGTCTGCTGGTGAGTATCAGCTATGTGTCTGAGTCATGTGGAACCACTTCCAGTTACTCAGTCAAAGGCCTCACTGATCAAACAGGGATATTAGGAATCAAGCTGTTAAGCACCCAAGTTGTGACAGGCATAGGGAATTAATACAAAAAGCTTGAACCATCTTCCTAGAGTTAAGTGTTGCTGTAATTCAGTATCAAAACTGAAGCAACTATCAAGATCAGTTTTGATACTGAATCTTGCTCTCAAGATACGTTTTGTAAATATGTACATGATAGCAAGAGGCATCTGCCCTCTGAGTATAGGGCTGCCATATGTCTGGACATAACCTGGATTTCAAAGGTGGAATTGACATCTGGAGGGGTGGAGAATTCCGAAAGGCGGCACTTTGTCCTGGATCTTAGATAAGTCAATTGAAAAATCACGGTTTTTTGGCTCAACAATTTTGGTGGCATTCTGGTTTTTACTTTTTGAAATATGGCAACCCTAAGAAAGTATGGGAAGGATTGTGGTAGGACTCCCATGCTACATCTCCAGCAATGGCATCGTTCATTTTCCAGAGATTGAGAGCAGCACCATCATCCAGTTTTAAAATAACAGTATCTTATTTTAAAATAATGGTGTATTAGCTATAAAGAATTAAAAGCTAACTCCTGCTTTGATGAAGATTTGTTATTACATTTTTTGTCTACTTCCTTCTCTTACCTTCTATATCTCACAAAAGCTCTTCCAAAGTGTTAAATATTTGTTATCAGAAGAGGATTTAAACCAATGTTTAAATGTTTATGCCAATAAAGCTCAATAACAACAACTGATGTTGATCTTCCTGTTGTCGTGTTTTTGTTTTTCCAGAGGCAACAGGCATTATAGTAATGAATGCAAGAATAGGTAACGAATCCTCTGTTTCTGAATTTCTACTCCAGGAGTTCTCAGCAATCCGAGAAATGCAGATTCTACACTTCTTCCTCTTCTTGGTATTGTACCTGGCAACTGTGTTCGGGAATCTTCTCATTATCTCTGCAGTAGCCTTTGACCACCACCTTCACACTCCCATGTACTTCTTTCTGATGAACTTGGCCATACAGGACCTAATTGCTGTTTCAGTCACTATCCCCAAATCCATAGCCAATTCTCTCATGAACACCAGACACATTTCTTACACTGGATGTGTTGCTCAGGTCCTCTCATTTGTTTTCTTTTTATCATCTGATACTGCCCTTCTTACAGTCATGGCATATGATCGCTATGTTGCCATTTGCAATCCATTCCAATATGAAATGGTGATAAACAGGGCAGCCTGTATACAAATGGTTGCTGGTGTGTGGGTCACTGGATTCCTTAATGCAGTCATGCACACTAGTGCAACCTTTGCTACACCTTTCTGTTCAAACATTGTCAATCAGTTCTTCTGTGAGATCCCACATTTACTTACACTTGCCTGCTCAAACTTATACCTAACAGAAATTGGAGTTTTGGTGATGAGTGTAATCATGGTGACTGGCTGTTTTGTCTTCATTGTTGTCACTTATGTGCACATCTTCACTGTTGTCCTGAAAATCCCTTCTGTTCAGGGAAGGAAAAAGGCCTTCTCCACTTGCATACCCCACCTTGTTGTCTTCTTCGTATTTTGTTTCACAGGATGTTTTGCTTACCTTAGGCCTCCATCTAAAACTCCATCTGATCTGGACTTTGCATTAACTTTGATGTATACTTTTGTTCCACCCATGTTCAATCCAATAATCTACAGTATGAGAAATACAGAGATTAAAAATGCATTATCAAAATTACTGGGTTTCAGGCAAGCTTCTGTTAATATCTCTTTCTGGCTTATTCTGAAAAGGTGAAATCTCTCTAAGTATTGTTCTAGATTTGTGGTACCAATGCTTAGGTTCAGTAAATATTAGGATTTACAACCTGAAAATGGCCAGTTCCTAGTGTATTAGGACTAGGAAGAAGTATAGTGGACTTTCTGGTAAGCCTCCGTATTAAACACATGTAAAGCTGGTTAAGTGGGCACACTTTCTGGGTTATGTAGTAGACTAATTTTTGTGTGAGGTGAACACCTGGAGGGCATTATTCTTTAGCAGTTCAAAGCATCAAAGGGCAAAGTGTGAGTAAGTGTGAAATGCTAGACACTTTTGAGGTAATAAACTCTAGGATGCCAAAGGAGAGACCTTCTCCTGTGTTACAAAATGAGACCAGAACTTAGGTAAACTGTAAGGAAGAAGTGGGAAAGGACAACATCTTGAATGTGCCTTACAAGATAGGTTGCAGAAGACAAGGATTCTGGTGATGCTGCCATAGATTAAGCTTGCATGTTATGGGGTGCTGCTGCTGTGTGCCACTCCATTGAAGGCTAAAGGTTTTATATATGTATAAAATAAACCATATATCATAAAGACATTAGAGACTCATTTGTGCCTCAATTTCTGCAAAGGAACACAGACTCTGGGTGAGTGTCTAGAACCCTCTGGAGTATTGTTACTGCTCAGCCAGAGATTGGGGGTTGCACACAACCACTGTAGCACTATAATCATAGGGAACTACTGAGATGTTGTGCCCAGTTACAACTTCCAGATAAATTTAGATATGCGGATTCAAAATATATCCTGTGTTACATGGGCATCTTGCATTCCTCCAGCTTAGATGTACCATTCACAATTTTGTTTGTCTGATTGCATGATATGCCTAGGTGTGCCATTAGATTTAGTGGATTTGTCAGGAAAGGCCACTAACCTCAACCACATGCCATTCATTTATATGAATGATATCACGCTTAGCTTTTAAACCTTTTAATGAATTAAATGCATTTGAAGCAGTGGTTGAGAAGAACTTAGTGATCGTGTTGTCTTCTTCTTTTTAAATTATTCTCCTTTAACTATACAGAGCTATTATCGGAAGTAAAGGGCCAGAAAATTATCATTTATTTAGGAACCTCAGTTGATCATCTGTGTCAGACTCCTGGGACCAAGTCTCAAGAAATGCTACTGTTGTTTTGTGTTGAGCTCCTGAGTCCAAGCTTCCAAGAACACAATTGTTTATGTTGGGGTTCTGAGACCATACTCCCAGGAATATAAATATTATAAGAATAATTTCCCACTACATAGTAAAAGCATCATTCTGCAAGAGTACACAAATATTTCCACCGTCTCAGAAAGAAGAGGTGAACTTATTTTCACCTCAAAAAGAGTGGTGAACTTAAAAAAAGAAGAAAAAAGGAACAAGTTTTATGAATGGCTGGAAGAATACAAAGGACCCTGAAGTGGTAAATAAATTTCATCTGGAAATTTACTTTCTGTTAAAAAAAAGAGTAAGTTATTGTCAGGGAACTGACATCAGAGACACGGGAGAAGGAGAGGGTCTCAGACTCTGCAGGTGAAGGTCCTAGCACCAGGGGGAGACTCAGCTTGGTGGAAGGGGAAGGAAATACGCGTGACACCAAGAGTCCAGGAGAGCTAGGGGAAGAGGAGGTGGAAGGGCTCCGGGATTCTTCCCTAGAAGTCAGTGAAGAGAGCCCAGGCACTCCGCTACCCACGCCCACCCTGCGCAGGAGACTCCCGCGCAATGAGAGGTGGAGACGATTAGGTGTCAAACAGCTTTTATGCTGGCAGAGGTTTAAGAAACGCCCACAGACAGATTCTGCCAGTGACAGGCAGTCAAGCGGAGATGGGCTGCACAGTCCGAAGGGTTTAACCAGGCAACCAAGCACCCAAACGGGGTCGGCTTACACACGAGTAACTCCAAACCACTACAGTTATTTACATATTTTTAATTTTAGTAATTGCCTGGGTAGTTGTTTTAAAAGCTGAATGAAGAAAATACTACTATAGTGTATTGTGTAGAATAGGACGTTCTGCTTGGTAGATGGTGCCTCATAAAGCTTATATAGACTGCACTTAGCTTACAAAATGGCCTGTGGTTTGTATGACACACTAAGCCAAACCTTAGCTTAGTGATGTTGTGAGGAAAATATCCACCTAGCGCTCCCTAAGTCCCTTTATTCAACAACATTGAGGAACGAGGCCACACAAACACCAGGATTGATCAATCGAACAGACCGTTACAGGGAAATTGGATGGGAGAGGCTGAGACACACACACATACACACCTGAGCCTTGCCTCACCATGAGGCAAGGACAAAGTGTCTTTGCTGCACATTACCAAAACATCATTCATTTGGGTTCAAAGCTCCATTCACAAGGTGCCTGTCTGGTCAGAGGCTCCAGATCCATGACAGCAGCCCTTAATGGGGAATTTCTCACCAATCCACAATTCTCTTCTTCAAGGTCAGAGAGATAGATAAAAGACAACTTATCTCACTACAAGCCCTTTACTCCCCTTTCTAAGTACTGGAGCTTATCTATTTCCTGCTGGTTTGGCAGGCAGAGCACAAACCAATTACTTTTTTATTGTGTCTTAAGCATGGATTCCCTGCATGATCACCTCAAAACTGAGTCTCTGCTTTTTGCTTATAACAGTGAGAATGCACAAATGTGCAGCAATATTACTATAGTGTATTGTGCAGAATGTGAAATCCTGCTTGCTTTGTGGTCTCTCTTGAAAACTATATAGAATGCATGTAGAATACCCAATGAATGACCTGGTTTCCATGACATGCTAAGCCAAGTCTTATCTTAGTGAGACTTCACAAAAGTGCAACCTCCTGGAAAGAAGATTATAGTCGCTTTGCTCCTGTGTGGTTCTTTTTACTGCCATCTTAAGATACAGCCAGTTTTGTCATAGCACATCATTCAAACCAGGACTAATGGTTAAGCTTTGTCCTCACTAACCACGAGCTGTAACCAGGAGCAAGCCTTGATTTCAACTCCTAGTGAGTGAGGAGAAAGCTTAAGCACTTTGTCTTAGCTTAGTACAGTGTGGCAGCAAAATGATCTGGGCATGAGGAGAGGAGCTGTGAGCATCTCTCCATGCACATTTGTACATTCATGTCACCATGCAGCAGCATTGCATGAGCAAGTGGGCAGCCCAGCCCTTGTTACTGACACTGCCAGTGCAATTTGCCCCACACTGGAGTCAAGCAAAGGCACACAGTGCTGCCTGCCTGCCTGGGTAAGGGGGGACAACAACAATAAAACAATGAACAGGGTGGTGATACAATGACTACTGCAGTGATAATATCACAATATGCAGAGCACAGATGCCTCTCACTAATACCTCCATATTTACAAAGCATATTTTGATCCTGTAATTCAGTATCAAAACTGAAGTAACTAACTCATAAACATAGGGCAATGACTAGCCACCGGAATGATACAGGGTCCAATTCAATGTTCATGTTTTAATTTCCAATGACGACTACAACTTGGGCTGAGGATAGCTTGATTCCAAATATTCTGGTTTTATCAGTGGGGTCTTTGAAGGAAAGCTCTTAGGGGTTCTACATGGTTCAAACACATGGCTTATATTCAGCAGGAGGCATGTATTCAGTATTCTGGGCCCAATTCTTGCAGCAAGTTTTAACTGTTTTTATCTTTATTGTATATTTTTAAACTCAATGTACACTGTGCCCGGACAATGGTGTCAAGGGCATAATATGGGTGTTGCCAGAGGGGCCATGGCCCCAGGCATGATTTTTTGAGGGGGGGTGAAACAGGCATCTCTGTGCCCCTCTCCAAGCCTTGGAAGAGGGGCACCTGGTTTTCACCCTCCAGGTGCCATTTTGGCTGGCCGAGCTCCCCTGGAGGAGAGAGCTTAACTACTAGTCCTGGTTTGAATGATGTGCTATGACAAAACTGGTTGTAACGAGCAGCACCATCTACTACAATAGTAGTTTATTTTAAGAGAATGATGTATTATCTATAGAGAGTCAATATTTGTTTTCAAAAGATGATTTAATCTAATGTTTATCTCTTTTTTCAGATTCAGCAAGCATTTTAGTCATGAATGCCAAAAAAGACAACAAATCTTCTGTCTCTGACTTTCTACTCCTTGAGTTCTCATCAATACGGGAACTGCAGATTCTACACTTCTCTCTGTTCCTGGTATTGTACCTGGCAATTGTATTAGGGAATCTTCTCATAATATCTGCAGTCACCTTTGACCAGAAACTTCACACTCCCATGTATTTCTTTCTGATGAACTTGGCCATCCAGGACCTAGGTGCTGTTTCAGTCACTATTCCTAATTCCATGGCCAATTCTCTCATGAATAACAGACACATTTCTTCTGCGGGATGTGCTGCTCAAGTCCTCTCACTTCTATTCTTTCTATCATCTGATATTGCTCTCCTAACAGTCATGGCATACGATCGATATGTCGCCATTTGCAATCCATTACAATATGAAACGGTGATGAATAGGACATTCTGCACTCAAATGATTGCTGGTGTGTGGGTCGCTGGCCTTCTCTATGCAGTCATGCACACTAGTGCAACTTTTGCAACTCCATTCTGCTCAAATATTGTCAACCAGTTTTTCTGTGAGGTCCCATCGTTACTTACAATTGCATGTTCTAATTTATACCTAATAGAAATTGGAGTTTTGGTGGTGAGTATAATCCTGCTGGCTGGCTGCTTTGCCTTCATTGTCATCACTTATATACACATCTTCATGGCCGTTCTGAAAATTCCTTCTATTCAGGGAAGGAAAAAGGCCTTCTCCACTTGCATTCCCCACCTTGTGGTCTTCTCCATATTTTGTTTCACAGGAAGTTTTGCTTACTTCAGGCCTCCTTCTAAAACCCCATCATTTCTGGACATTGTCTTAGCTGTGATGTATACCATTGTACCACCCATGTTCAATCCAATAATCTACAGCATGCGAAATAAGGAGATTAAAAATTCTTTATCAAAGCTGTTGGGTTTGAAGACCTCTTCTATGAATATCTTTTCCAGGCTTATTCTGAAAACAAGAAATCTCTCTCTGTGAGTAGAATTATAGGGAGCTCCTAAAATACATTTTCCTTGTTAGACATGTAGATTCAAATTTCTGCCTGTGTCACAATGTCTTCTTGAATTTCCCTAGGTCGGTTGTACTGTTCACACTTCGCTTCTCTGATCACATAGCCTGTTAAACTGATCTTACATTAATATATGTAACTGTGCAGTTTATTCAACTCAACTGCGGGAAATAATTTCCAAGGCAGCCTACAACTGGCCTGAACACCCACTCAACCCAGCAGACCTTACTCCCCTGCCAGATGGATGGGTCATCCTCTGTTGACCCAGAACATGGAAATGGCAATTTGAACTGAGTGTTCTTTCTGACAGCAAGCATAGAAGCAAGCTTCTTGAAGCTACTGTTTCTCTGGCTAGTGAATGTTGTCAGGCTTGTCTTCCTCTTGCTGTGATATCCTTTCACTGAGTTGGGGCAGTGTTTTTTATTAAAGAGGAGAACAAATATTGCTTTGACATATTGAGGGCTTGGACTGTGGAATCAAATGGAGTCATATTAAGTCTCTGCTACTAGTCAGAGCACTAAGGACCATTGGAAGTCTAAATGCCCTCCCTCTAAAGATGTGCAGCATTGCAAAGGTTAGTTCAAACTGCTTCTGTACATCAACCTCTGATGCTTTCATTCCTCTTCTTTCCATAATCTCTTTTGTTTCTTGTATAATTTTTAAATTTGTTTTGTTTTCATTGCCTTAAATAACTTATTTGGAATTAGCTATTTTGTTTTCATTTGCCCAATTCATATCCCATTCCCCAACCTTTTCATCAAGAGACATTGCCAGTCTGCTGTCTGTAACTTCAGCATTTTGTATTTAAATAGCATAACTTTTTCAGGCATTCTTTAGAAAGGAATGCACCCACCAAATTTCTGATTAGACAGAGGACAAAGGTTTCACAACTTATATAGGCGACTTAAAAAAGTGGAGACCTTTTAGTGCATGTCATGCAGCAACTGTCCTGTGACCCTTACAGATTGTTCCAGAGTGCTTTGCTTATTTTTCATTTAAATTTAAATAGTTTAAATAGTTTAAATAAATAAGGTAAGAAAAGTATCTAGTTATTTTCACCAGAAACAATGAGAAAGTATGCTCAACAAAAAATAACTTTAAGAATGGAAATAATGTTCACTGACCAAAATAATGTGAATCATAAGCCCTAATTAATCAGGCTGGGTGGGGAGATATGTTTAACAGAACTCTATGTAATTTTGTTGCTTCACCTCTTTAGTTTGACTAATGCAAACAGACAGAAAAAATGCAAGTAAATTATTTTAAAAGACTGGTTTATTTTTTATTCAAAGAGAAACAAGTGAGAAACAAAAAACAATTTGGTTTCATTTCAAACTCATTTTATTTATTTGTTCATTCTCATTTGCTTTTATAACTGAAACAAATAAGGCTAATTCAACCTATTTTGATTTGTTCTCAAAAAAAAAAAGCAAACAAAACAAATGGACACCACTAGTAACGTTCTGATGTTTTTAATATAGTGATGAACATTTCTTAGGCACACTTGAGGGAAATCCTCTGGCAAGTTTTGCTGGCATGAGTAGCTTAGGATGCAGCAGATATCTAGATAAGTTGACAGCTTCCCTGCTCAGCTTTGCTCAACCCTTGCTGCGTCTTTAATCCCAGATGAGCCAAATACACACATGTATTTTGCTTATTCTGGGTCAGCTGGGGATCAGTTGGCTGAGATGAAGTTGCCTGATCTAAGACCCATGTAAGTCTTAAAATGGGGTGGGATGGCAGGGCAGGACCAGAGATGGGAGAGAGGCTGGATCCTATGTCTGTTCAGCTCAGTCGTATGACCTGGAAACCAGACGTTTGACTCTGTTTTAAAGACTTGTTTTCCTTCTGGCAGGCTTAGGACTTATCCCCACTTCCACTTGTCCTGTGCCTAAAAAGTACAGGTCTGAGAGGATGGCAATCTGACTTTGTCAAGGTGCCCATTTGCACTTCCTGCAGGGAACTGTCTCATGCACCCAAACACATCTAGGCTTTGGGGATGCATTGGAAAGCAAAGACTCTTACAAAAGTGTATAGTCAATCAACTAACTTCAAGAGAACAACAAGTCTATGAAGAATAGTTAGCATCTGAGGGTGCTTTTTTGTTTTTAGTGCAGGCAAAGAACATCTCAAAATGGAAATTATACTGGTTTATTTATAACATTCTGATTGGTATAGATAGATAAGGTCAAAATAAAACTTTTCTGCCACAAAAGTAGAACTTGGCTGCATTGAATGAGTTTCATTTGACAGACAAGGGAACTGCTACTCTATACAAGCATAATTAACATGAAGTAAAATTGAATTAATAACCACTCAATGTGGCACTACTACTAATATCATGATCTAATCTGTTCTTCTGATTTAGTAATCATTGCAGCTTATGAACAAATCTTTGCTTAAGAACAAAGCAATAATTTTATTTTTTTAACATGTTTATAACTTGTAATTCTTCTAAAGATCTGCAAATGGGGGTACAACAAATGCTTTCAAATCACAATGCACAAAATATGAAAACAAACAAAAGAAGCACATCAAAACAAAAGAAGAACTGTTTGACAGTGGAACAGTCTCCCTCGGGAGGTTGCGGGCTCTCATTCCATGGACGTTTTAAATGATGATGATGATGATGATGATGATGATGATGATTTATTTATACCCTGTCCATCTGGCTGAGTTTCCCCAGCCACTCTGGGCTTCTAAAGCAGAGGTTGGATGGCCAACTGTCTTAGATGCTTTAGCTGAGTTTCCTGCATTGCAAGAACTTGGACTAGATGACCCTAAGGGTCCCTTCAGATGCTACAATTCTATGATTCTATCACAGAGCATCAAATAGCAGCAGGGTCAACATGACAGGCCTTGGAAACAATCACAATGCATCTCACCCCTGCGCAAAGGCCTGAATGCTGAAGTATGTTCTTACCTGCCTTTGAAAACACTGCAGTGTCAGGGGCATGACATGCCTCAGAGGGAAGTCATCCAGAAATACAAAGCTAAACATGCAATTTAAGGCTACAACCCAATGTACACTTTCCTGGGACTAACTCCAAGCCAATGTAGTGATATCCACTTCTGAGTAAACAAACATAGGACTGGACAAAACTTATGCAAGCCATCTAGGCAACCGAAAGTGTTTCCTAAAATGAAGAATGGTTTTTGCCTAAGAATTGGGGGAAAATATTGATAAGCAGCTTCCAAAATGCCATTTTGAGCTCCCTGTTTCTTATGCTATAGATGATCGGGTTCATTACTGGTGGCACCATGCAGTAGAACATAGAAACCAAGAGGTCAAATGCTGATGGGGACCCAGATGTTGGTCTTAAATAAACAAAAGTGCCACTTACCAAGAACAGGGAGATAACAATAAAATGAGGCAAGCAAGTTGAAAAGACTTTTTGCTTCCCCTGACTGGAGTGGATCCTCAGAACAGCTCTGAAGATCTGAACATAAGAAAAAGCTATTAGAGCAAAGTAGATGAAGGCTAAACAAGCTCCAAAAGTCAGAACCCAAACTTCTTTGAGATATGAGTCAAAGCAAGAGATCTTTAGCAGTTGTGGGATTTCACAGAAGAATTGATTGATGACATTAGAACAGAACTCCACAGTGAACGTTGTTCCAGTGTGCATTGCTGAATAGAAAAGTCCACCGATCCAAACACTGGTTGCCATCTGAATGCAGGCTTTCTTGTTCATGACAGTCTCATAATGCAGTGGATTGCAGATGGCAACATAGCGATCATATGCCATGATGCCAAGCAGGAGGTAGTGGGAGATCATGAAGAAAACTAGAAAGAAAACTTGACAGACACATCCAGAGTAAGAGATAGCTTGGGTCTTCATCAAGGAATTTGCAATGGATTTGGGAACTGTAACTGATATGGAACCAAAATCTTGGAATGACAGGTTGGCCAGAAAGAAGTACATGGGTGTATGAAGCTGATGACTATAGATGATGACTGTGATGATGAGAAGGTTTTCTATGAAGGCCACCAAATACATTATGACAAAAATTATGTTGTGGAATATCTGCAATTCCTGAATTTCAGAGAATCCAAGCAGAAGGAATCCATTCACTCTTGATTGGTTCAACATCGTGTTGTTCAGACTTCCATTTGGCAACTGAAAAGAAAGATCCCACACTACTTCTTTCCCATGTAACTGTACCTGTTTTTTGAAATGGAGTGGTGCTCTTTAGACACCATTCTCTCTATTCTGACAGTGATGATGGAGAAACAAACTGTAGTAAAGAGCTTTATTGATGTCTCATTTTTAATTACACCCAGAAGGTTCAGTTCTCAGGAGTCAAGTGCAGCCCTGTAGCATTAAGTCAGACACATCTTTTGAGATTCATGGTGGAGATATGTTTATAATGACTGTGATTCAATGGCTGTTATTGAACTTGGAAGCATTGCTCTGAGGCTGACTCTGTTAATGTAATGGAACTTTGACACCCTCACCCTCACCCTTACCCTCATGTGGGAGTTGATGAGGAGCAGAGGTCTTCAGTAGGGTCGTTTGTTTGTTTGTGGCCCTTGGAAGATTGATTTAAATGTGGCTATTTCAATCCTGCCCCCACTGACAAAATCAATGCAACGTGATTTAATATATAACAGTAAATATTTCTTTTATAGAAATGTACCCACATTTTGTGCACAGTGCCTTGCTTCATTCCTCTCTTTGTCTAACATGGTCACAAAACTAATACTGATTTTTTTTTAAGAGCTCCTCAAAGTAGAAGCACTCCCTTTTGCTTCTTTAGTTACCTGCTAAGAATTGTGAAGGGGATGAACCTTCAAGGAAACAGCTCTGCTTGTGCACAGTACACAGATCTGGCATTTACAGGGTTTACCAGGATACCAGGTACATCCTGTGGCAGAATTACTAATGTTGTGCTATGGCTTTATAGGTATACTAAGCAGTGGTGGACTTTAGGCTCTCAAATTTCAATTGTAACCTGTGCACCTCTAAAA